AGCTGTAATTACTCATCATTTATTATTATTATTACCTTCTGAACTTTTGATGGTTTTTGATGGAACAGTGCATTTTGCAATTAGGGCCTGATAAACATAAAAAGATAATTAGAAAAATTTGTAGTTAAAATAAAAACAGGACTTGTTTTTCTTTTTGGATAAAAAACATCATGTAAAATTCAGAGTGTGCATGATGGGCAAATATCTCAGAAGTACATTACCCAATTTAAAAGACAAAAATATTAAATAAATATATGTGAACAATGTTTCTGGTTTTCTAATTTAAATACTTATTGCTCAAAATCTAAAACAAGCTCTAAAATTAGACTAAAAAAAATCCATGTTTTTTTTACTTTACTACTTTTTATTGTAAAATATTTTTGTCACATTTTTTCAATAAAAATTCTGTTTGTTTTTATTTTTATCTCATAATTAAAAACAATGGAATTATTTATTTATTCATATAGAAATATTTCTTCTTTTTCTCATTTATGTTTTCCTTTAGTTTGTCTCAGTCAGTACACACTCACTTGTGAACAAGTTGCTTAATTGTGCTATTGTGTCACATGAAGAACTTTATTTCTGAGGAATGTATTTTTTACGAAGACGAGTTACCTGATGTAGTTCCTATATATGGCCAGTAGGCGGGGACATGTCAGGTCAGTTGATTTTCAGGAAAACATTTATTTTGTGCTCGTTTGAAAATACCAAAATAAAAACACCAATATAAATATATAAAAACGAGCTGATATGTGTCGTTTATTTTATACACTCAGTATGGTTCTTCCTCATCTGCCTGACAGCGTTCATTCGATGGCATCTCTCCCTGTCTGTGTTTGAGAGTTCACTGGTTCCTCTTTTGTTCACTTCAGTGTGTGTGTTGACCTGATAATCTGTGTGTTTTATGGAGTGCTGTTCACACATCGGTCTCCACTCTGATCCCAAACCCAAACACAACAGCCCTCCTTCCTCCTTTATCAGCCCACCACACGCCTCCCCCATGTGATCAACAAACTGCACCTCCTCTTCCACATGTTCTGGTTCATTAGAATAACATGAACGATTATTGTTAGAATGCACCGAGTCCTGTACTCTTTCAAGTGAATTATAAGAACTGGGTTTGGTGTTTTAACCTTTAGAGGATGTTTCTTTATTCCCCTCCTGTCTCCTGTTGGGGGCCAGTTGGGATGATCACACACTGAATCACACGCAGATCCCAAACTCAAACACTAATACATTATCAGAGAACACACTCTCTCATAATCCCTGGGTAACTACACCTGTTTATGTGTGTGTGTGTGTGTCCTCTCTCCTGTGAGAATGGGTACTAAATAAATTTCACACAACTAGCTATTACAATAAATTATTTCTCCAACTTCATATTCTTCACTAAATTCTTCCAAACAGACAAAAGCATAGAACTATTCAGTCATAGTGATAAATCCTTTGTAGGTAAATAAAGTGTGATGTTAATGATGATTTTAAAAAGCCTTTTAAAGACTGAGTTCAATGAGAAAATGTTTTTTTTTAATATGTTCAGTAACCCTGAGATTTTCATGCAGCCTGAGTATGAGAATAGTCTCCTACACCTATCTCCTGCATTAGCTTCTGATAGAAAACAGACGGTGAACCTCTATGATTAGGATATCCTGACAGATCTACGTCACACTGTCACTTAACTTTCATGGACTCACCCATCTTGACTCACGACAGGGAAGGCTCCTGTTGGTTTCTCCTCCGGCTCTTTTGTCCACTCCAGTAGAGCCTGATTTATACCACAACGGAGAGACGCCCACAGAGTTTCGGAAAGGTTTTTACATGCGAACTTTAGCGCAGGCAGGGGAGTGTTGCAAAACAATTCCCCGCCAGGACAACAGAGGGTGTAGTGCTTTTCTGTGGTATCCTGCCACCATAACACTCATGTATCTGGTCCACAATAGTGTATTTACTATCATGAGAGAGATCTTTTCTCACAGAGATCAACTTAAGGTATTCATTTATTCTAGAGACCACATCAAATGTACAGAAAAAAAAATTAGTCCAAGTATATTTTTGGCGCTGATTTAAAATTGAACTTTATTTTCATTGTAGTATCACTCAGTTACTTCTATGTGAAGCTCAAGTGTTCTGTTTGTTTCTCTGTTTTAGTTCTCTTGTACCTTTCTTCTACCTTTGACACTGTTGACAACTGAACAATGGTCAGCAGGCTCAGAGACAGCTGATATTACCTTTGGAGTGCCACAAGGCTCAGTTTTGGGACCGCTCTTATTTTTTTAATACATTTTACCACTAAGAAAGTTAATCAGCAATTTCAGCAATATTTCATATCACCTATATGCAGACGATATTTAGATGTACTGCTCCTTCCATAAGAATGAGTTTCATATATGGTCTCCACTAATTCAAACGTTGGCTGAGTGCAAGCTTTCTCCAGCTCAACCCTGGCAAAACTGAGACTTTAATTATCGCTCTTGGGAATAAGCACCATCAAATTAGAGATCACCTGGGTACATTGCCATCTTCAGCTCGATTGAATGTCCACGACCTCGGTATTACTTTTGACGCCGACATGCCTCTGACACAACACACTAATCTGTTGGTCAAAAATTGTGACTTCCAACTGCGAAATATTTCAAAGCTCAGGACTATGCTTTCTATAAAGGAGCTAGAGATGATAATACATGCTTTTATCTCTTCCCACTTAGACTACAGTAAACGTGCTGTAGCAAGAAGGACCTACCACGTCTCCAGGTGGTCCAAAACTCAGCAGCCAGACTTTAAACATGCACCAGTAGAATAGCTCACATCACCCGTTTTAGCAACTTTACACTAGCTCCCAGTTTTCTTTAGGAGACAGTGCAAAATCTTGGTCCTTACTTACAGAGCGTTACATGGTCAGGTACCCAATTATATTGTTGACCTACTGACTATCCACAATCCAGGACACTCCCTCAGATCCTCAGACTGCTACTGGCAGTGCCCCGAACTAGATTTTGGACCAGAGATGACCGGACCTTTCAGGCAGTGGCCCCCTCACTGTGGAGTGCTTTACCACTGACCCTGCGATCTCCACCTACTGAGTCTTTTAAAAAGCAACCGAAAAAAACATCTCTATACTCAGGCCTTTTATTGGTTTTGTTTGACTCTGTTGTTTTTATTGATTTCCGTCATTTGTAATTTTTGTACTTGTAATTTGTGATTTTTATGTTCTTATGCTTTATAGGTGTGACAGGGTGAGCATCCTGTCACTGTATCCTGATTGATTATGCGCCCTGGTAATTTAACCATGGGGATGTCCCTTTGGCTGACTGGTTAGCACTCTCACCTGGGAATCTGGGGATCGAATCCCACCTGGGCCCTCGTTTCTCCAACTTGCCACATTGTTATGTGCCGTTTGCTCTTACAATAGGTTTAATGATTTATAATGACTTTATGCTGATTGTCTGTGTTATTATTTTGTGGTGTGAAGCACTTTGTGATTCTTTCTGTGGAAGGTGCTTTACAAATAAACATCACTTACTTACTTACTATTTTAATAGGATTTAAAGAGACAATCTGTAGCTTTTACCTTTAATCTCTGGAAATTTCCATTGAAATGTAGAAAAATAACAAAATGATTGTTGTTGATGAATACTGGCGGCTACCTAACATATTACCATAAAAATCAGGTCTAAAGTACATAGTGTGCAGGTCTAAGTCTATATTAGATGTATGTTAGGCAAGGCAAGGCAGCTTTATTTATATAGCACATTTCATGCACAAAGGCATTTCAAGTATTGCAAGAACATTAAAATCAACATGACAAAAAGTACACAAAAATTAAATTTTGATTAAAAATATTTAAATGAAAGGACTAAATTAAAGGGTGAGCAGTTACAGGTGTTTTAAACTGTTCCAGCAGGCCAGGAGTGGTGATTCCTGGGTCGGATCCAGGGCGCAGCACCCTAGTCTGGGCTCCAGAGGTGGATGGCTGTGTCAACAGACTTTTAAAGGCTAATGAATACATGAAGGTTTTCAATTTGGTTTTTAAAGTTTCTAGAGAAGGTCCTGGGTTCGCTTCCCAGCCTGGGATCTTTCTGCATGGAGTTTGCATGTTCTCCCTGTGCATGCGTGGGTTCTCTCCAGGTACTCCGGCTTCCTCCCACAGTCCAAAAACATGACTGTTAGGTTAATTGGTCTGTCTAAATGGTCCTTAGGTGTGAGTGTGTGTGTGTGTGTTTTAGTTTGTCCTGTGTGTCTTTGTGTTGCCCTGCGATGGACTGGCTCTCTGTCCAGGGTATACCCCACCTGATTGCCCATTGACCGCTGGAGATAGGCACGCTTGGAACCAAGCTGGAACAAAGTACAAGCAACCATGATAGCGTTACTAGTGGAAAACTATGCAGAACCAAGTTAAGTAGGTGCTAGTGGGAAAGGCTCACTAGAGTACTGGGAGTGCTGGAAGACACAACAAACCCTCTAGCAATGACACCTATTGATGCACCATCCTGAAGGAGTAGGACAGCCCGGGGAAGGTACTTCCTCATGCTGCAGTGACACTGACCCTGGTCAAAACTGCTTTCTACCCTCCTTTCAGCACCTCATTCCAGCAGACATTATATTTTTGGAAATTGGGTCTATCCAGACATATATGTAGATGCGACATGGACTGACACTGCCTATTGGAGCTTGTGTAGCAGCTGGTCGCCATCTTGGATGGGTCTCCATTCACCCCAGGTGCATTTATTTCTACTGAGGATGGTGTTTAACCAACTAAAAAAACAACAACGCATTTTATTATGCTTTTTCACTAAATCAGACTTATGGTATGGTGTAATAATAATTAAATTAATAATTAATAATAAAGTTATAATAATAAATAATAATACAGTTAAATTATGAAATCCCAACAAGTCCAGAAAAGTCCCACGTGATCTGTTTTCAATAGTCATGGGTCTTGCACTATGATAATGACAAAACACACAGCTAAAAACACCCAAAGAAGGCTCAGAGTGTCACGGTCCGTGGTGAGCCTCCTGCATTTCACCTGTATTTTCTGAGCATTGTTTTCAGGTGGGCGTGTCTGAGAGTCTGAGAGTCTCCAGCTGCAGCCAATCCAGTCATTACGGCCCAGGGGATTTAAGGAGCAGTGTGGCACTTCACTTCGCCGGATGATTACTCTATCTTGGGTAGCTCTAGCCTTAACCTGTCTTGATCCTGTGAAATTTCTAGTTCCTAGTCACTAACCTGTATTTGAAGCTCTGCTTGATTTCTGTCGTCAGAAGAAATCCTGATAATCCTCCCCTGCTCTGCTCCAGGTTTCTCTTTCACACTCCACCACCTCCATAACCAGCTTGGACTCCTGCACACCAGATCACGCCGTCTCCTCCCCTGGCCGCTCGCTCTCAGCCGCTCACCTGCCTCCACCAAACCGCTGCTCCTACCTACTCTCTGGACCAACAGTCCCATCACCTTCTGGAGCTTTCCTGCTCACCCGGACCTGACCAGTCCCTCCAGAGGTTCTCACCACTACTGCAATCAGTAAGCTCCACTCCCAATATCATTCTCCGTCATTCCTCCATATACTCATTTTGTCTCCCTCCTCAGAGTTCCATCCTGAAATCTTGCTGCCAGCCTGCCCGTCGTCTGTTCCCCTCGTTGCCCTTCAGTACATAATAAAGTCGTTTTACTTACTTACCGGTTCCTGTGTGGTGATTCTGCATGTCGTGGGTCAAAAGATTGCCGCCCGCCATGACACAGAGGAGAACATCGGATTATTCTAATGTGGGTTTCTATGAGTCCTGACCTCAATCCTGTTCAGCGTCTATGGAAGGAGCTGAAACATGCGTCCAGAAAAGGCGCCCTTCAAACCTGAGACAACTGGAGCAGTTTGCTCATGAGGAGTGAGCCAAAGTACCTGCTGAGAGGTGCAGAAGTCTCACTGACAGTTACAGAAATTGTTTTTTTTTTTTTTGCAGTGATTGTCTCAAATGGTTGTGCAACTAAATATTAGGCTAGAGGTACCATCATTCTTGTCCAGGCCTGTTCTATGAGTTTATTTATTTTTTTCTGTTGAATCATGGTTGAAAAGCAATGACTGAATTTCAATGATCACATTTCATAGAAGTTTTATTTATTATTACTTTTGTCAGATTCAAGTTATTTATGTGACCATTGTGGGTCACATAAATTTTGTCTGTAAATTACATTTATGTACACATTTATCAAATAAAAACAAACTTCTCACTAAGATTTGGAACTTCTTTGATAAGTCGAATTAAGAATATTGAGATTTTTATGTATTTCAACTGGAACGCTGTGAAAAAAATCTAAAAAACGTCATCCAAAAAGGAGCCGAACAATACAAAAATAATCATAGTCACCAGATTCACTGAGACCTGATTTAGATTATTTTCATATATTCAAGCGAGGGCAGTTTAGAAGTAGTAGAGTTTAATGATTAAATGGGTCGCACTGAGCTCTCCTTGTTGATGTCAATTACATCTTTAATTAGTGCACGTGTAATGTAAATACAATCTGTTTTGATTGCTGCTGCGCCTCCTGTCTCACAGTAAAACAGATTTTCTCCCTCATTAGGCAGTCACTCCTTCAAGTGCCTCCATCCCCCAGGACCTGGCCTGGACGAGCCCGAGCATGTGAGCAAAAGGAGGGGAAAAAAAGTCCATGTGTTCAGAGATTTGAAAACCAAAAATATGGCCGGATATTTGAGGGCTCCACCATCACACCTTTTGTCAAATCACCCAGCTTCTCTTCTGCATCCCCGTCTGCCTCAATCAAACTCAGATTGCGCCTTTAGTTGCTTTCATTGTTGAAGATGTCCTTATTTACGTCCCGTCATTATTCCTGGGGTGAATGCCGAAGCACAGGAAAAAGATGGGGAGTATTTGAATGAAGCAAAGCCGGATTAGATTTTTTGAAGAATTGCTTTTATGTGAACACGAGTAGACTGCGTGGGACTGCATGGGACGTGGGAGTGAAGGTGAGTCTGTCTTTACTGTTGAATGCTCCAAACAACTGATAAAAGCCTTTCAAAATAACCAACTGAGGTGAAGTTTTGGGGTAAGTATGGCAGATGTAAGAATTTTTTTAAAGAGAGGAACTGAGCTTTCAGAGAGAACAAGAGAGGAGGAAGTGGGAGAGATGCCATGTGCTGCACACCTGATCCCTGAGAAAAGGAGGGAGAGTTGGGGTTAGGAGGAGGAGGAAGATGGGGGGAAATCAGTTCCACTACACGCTCATTAACACCTATTCATCTGGAAGACATCTCTGCACAGATCCACTCCTGGCTAAGTCAAGCGCACCGGCCCTCACTGTTTCCGTATATGTTAACCTCCCTTTTTTTAATCCTCTAATGAGATAAATAACCTCATACTGACCCATATTTACATCTCGTCTTGTGGATCAGAATTTCAACCATCCTCTGACCTTTTTTTCCTGCAGCTGTGCTCTTACGTTGAAGGCAAAAGCTTAAGCTTGATAGTTCGTGATGGTGGCTGCCACTTTGTGATGTAAAAACAGCAGACGGGAGTTTAAAGAGGTACTTCACTCAGACTTTTAGTATATTTGCAGTGGTCTCGAGTAGGAATGAATGTCTTTTAAGGTGTACTCTGGGAAAGAAAAGCTCTGGCGCGCTAGTTTCAGCACACAGAATTCCATAGACATGAATAAGTAAATCCCCCATTAGGCGCTGGAGAGCGTAACAGCGTCACCACAATACTGGATTGGTTCCTCGCTCTCCAAACCCAAATGGAGTCAATGCCTACAGCTGCAAAAACTGGCACACAGCTGGGATTTTTTACTTGTATTTATTTTATTCATTTTATTTGTTTATATTTATATTTCATTTATCATGCCATACCATATGTCTGATTTTGTGAAAAAGCATAATTAATGTAATTTTTAGTTGGGTAAGCACTGGGGGCAAATGGAGACCCATCCAAGATGGCGGCCAACTACTGGGGCAGCACCAGTCTATGAGGTGTCTACATATAGGATGTTTGTGGGACAATTCAGCCAAAGGATAAAGTAGCTTCAGACGACAGGATTTGGAGCCTTTTTTCCTGTTTGGACATCTCTCCTTTGATTGGATGAGAGCAACATGACTCTGTTTGCAACAGCCTGGAAGTGTTCTTTTATAGACAGGACTTCTAGGCGTAGCCAAGGTGTTGAGGGGTGTCTCTGCTTTTAGCAGGTGATGTGGTCCTGCTGGCTTCATCAGATCGTGATCTCTAACTTTCGTTGGAGCGGTTCGCAGCGCCTCTAAATCCGAGACCATGGTCTTGCTATACATATATTGTGGAGATTTAAAAAATTAATTGAAAAAAATTAATGAAGTAGTTATGTCGCATTTTCTGAAAACCTTCGCCAAGAAAACAGCTAGGACCAAAATCAACGATTGGACCATCCAGCTGTTGGTCTCACCCAAGCGAGGGTCCTCCATGGATTACACGCTCACATATTTAGCAACAGAACACCATTGGTGTGAGATTTTCTCCACTCACTAATATCAGAGAAGGAGAAACAGCTGGCTGCTACCTCTTCAACTTTAGGACAAACTACCAGAGTCCCAAAAAGAAAAACACTGTTTGAAGTCACGGACAACAAAAGACATTTAGACCTAGAACACAGTGACTGGTGTTCACTATCTTTGTTCCTCTGACAATGTGGGTTTCTGGTTCCAGCAGAAGTGTTGAGCGGTTAATATTCTGTGATCGTGTTTGTGTTCAAAGCCTAGCTTGTTCTTTAGATTCACTATAACAGCTTTAATTTCCTGTTTTTGGGAGAAAACAAGACATGAGCCTTCTAGAAAAGTTTGAATATGGTTTAGAAAGGTTGCTGTCATATAAAATATGGAATTATGCTAGGTTAGGGTTAGGGTAGTGGATAAATATTCCATCCCATAGAAGCCCATTTTAAAATCAAAAAATTTGTTTTGACCAAGTTGGATTAAAATTGTATTAAAAACAGAAGTAAGCCAATGAGAAATAATTTCTATGGCTGAAACTAATTCAACCATTTTGGCACAAAAACTACCTCACATTACATTTTGCATGATATGCTGCAACAAAACCTGCTAATGAGCTGCAAAGTCAAGAACACGCAGGAAAAAAATAATAAAACGCTAAAGGCAAAAAAATATTTTGGAAAAGGTGAAGTGTGGTAAGTTTTTGTGCCATTAATCATCATGTATGTGCATAATAACTCAAATAGCTTCCAGTTGAAAGCGTTTCTATGATGCTTCATATTTTGACATGGAAGCTTAAATTCTTCCTCCTCCCCCATCATCGTGACCTATGATCTCTTCAAAAAAAGACTTTTAATATTTTTTCATTAACACACTTGAATAGTTTTTTAATGTTAGACTGAAAATGTGTAAATAGGAGAACAAGGTGAAGTTTTAAATAGCAGATCATATAAGTCATACATGTTGTATCACATCATGTCACAGATACATGTCTAAGGAATCCAAAATTATTGAATAAGTTATTTACATTCATGAACCTATTCCATGGTAACTTACCATGTTTCTAGTAATGAACTATTTTGATCCTCACACCGAGTAACCTGTACACAAAAGTTCTTGAATCATGTTATTACATCAAATTATGCTTCCACCAATCAAATTCTAATCAATCTAATAATCCCAGGTAAATTAATAGTGATGTTGTCGCTGCTCAGACTGAAAAAAGAACCAGGGGCGGCATTAGGCCCGGCTACTTGGGCTGAAGCCCCGGATCTTTAATGAATAGCCCCGGATCTCAAACGTGGAAGTAGCATGCAGTACCAAAGTCCAACAGAGAGGGAGCAGCTAGCAGTAGTTTGTATACAGCCTGCCTGAGCCTCCACCACTGAAGAAGAAGCCCTTCAGCAGCCAGCTTCTTCTGCAGTGCCTGGTTTCTTCTACACTCTGCCTGAAACGCATGTGTGAAGATGGACATAAGGACGTTTTTTAGACCAAAAGGACCGCGACAGAACCCCAGCTTTGATGATACTGGTGTTGACTCAGGTTTGTGAGTCTTATTTGAAAATATTTGTTGTGGTGCTGGTTTGTATACAGTTAGCTTATCAGGTAAAGTGGTTGGAGAAAGAAAGGGAATATTTACTATCATCTTACAATAAACACAAACAGGAACAATATTCTGCCCTGAATATGCTTAATATGTAGCTTCAGATTAAAAATTATGTGGTGCAAGACAAATATATATGTTGACTAGTGCGTGTCACGTGTGTGTGCGTGCCTGTGCGTGTGTGTGTGTTAAGCCCTGGATCTTCTTCAGTCCTTAATCCGCCCCTGAAAAAGAACTACGTGGACAGTGAACTTCCTGTCCGAATGAAAACGATATTTGTCATCACAGGAGCTCCTCAGGGTTGTGTTCTCAGACCTTTGCTTTTCATTTAGCTGATATATGACTATTGATAGTTTTCACATACATCTGACCAAAGAGGTAAATGCTCACACACTCCTCTCCTCTGCCCTTTAGCCATCAACTCAGCAAGGATAATGTGGATTTTTGCCCTTAGAAGTGCTTTCATACTGGTGTAACAATCCAACAAACCACTTGTGTAAATTGGTGACTTTCACACACAGAGATGCATTTCCTCCTCCGTGCAGCACTGTAACATTAAAATATGTTTTT